TACGCGCATGCGCACTACTGATAGCTCCACTTTTACACTCTTTATTTAATGTAAAACTCGAGAAAAACGATATAAAACTTACACTATGATTATTATAAACACACATTTTTTCACGTAATATTTTATAACACTCCGAAAGGGAATTAAAAAAAATCCGTTTAAAATCGTTTATAGGTTAGGTTTCGTAAAATTTGTGTTGTACGATTTATGTTTTAAAAAGAATTATTAAATAACTCTTTACGTTTTCAAATTAATATATATTCGAATTTTTAAGCTTAAACAATTAATTTTAGTAATAAATTGATGTTATTTTAATTGGATAAATTCTTTATAACAAGGGAGTAATTCTGAGATAGATTCGTCTTTGGACGATGACGTCATATCCTCGATTGCAAATGTCTGCCTGCCTTTATAACTGAAATAGACAGTTTTTGGTTTGTGGTGTGTTTTGAGTGCCTGTGTGTTGGATAATTAATTTATAATGTTCCCCGCACCAGGTGGACGTAAGTACATTAAACATAACAAAAAAAAATAGATCAGGTTACCGTGATTAACGCTATTTAACGATCATCGCATTTGTTTTGTTACAAGTGTTTGATGTCAGTTTATTTAAAAAAATTGCGTTGCCTTTGTTTCTTTTCACCTCACAACTGTGATTTAAATATCAATATAGATTATTATCTGTTTATAAAAATAATAACTTGATTATGAAATAATTTCTTTGGGTACCAAGTGCGAGTGTGTATATTTAAATAAGGTCAGCTTTAATCAATGTGCGTGTGTGTATTCTTTCGAAAATCTTGCTGGAAATTATCTTTGAGTCATTCATTCTTGTTGAAAATGTATTGATTTTCTTTTTTTATCTTACAGGAATAACAAAAAATCATTATTTCAAATCGATTCTAACCTTATCTTTGTTGAAAAATCGAAGAAGATTAATAAACACGTGAAAATGTTTAAGTTTGTTTAAATCTGTTTTGGTGAAGTTATTTCAAAGATAAAGTAAAAGCTAGGTTATATTATATTACTCAGGATTGACCGCAAGGTTTAGAAAGTTCATTGAACTCTGACCCGCCACAAGACTGGCCAGAATTTTATTGATTTAGTTCAGGGAGCTCATCAAAAATAAATTATAAAAATAATTCAATAAAATCAAATAATTTCTTTTAATAAAATCAATACACTTCATAATTGAATTCATAGTTATCAGTACTTTTTTTTAATTTAATTTTAATCTAAAAAGTGACTTTTACGTTTTTTTTTTTGAGGTTATAATTTTTGACGTTTTGGAAACATTCAAGAATCATCATGTGGTTTAAAAATCGACGATTTTTTTACGTTAAAAATGAAAAGAAAGTGCGGAAAAGTGTAAAACATACCGAAAATACTATATTAAAAAACTAGTTTCGTAAGACACGCTTGAAATGCACGAATTCAAGTTTAAATTTTAATGAAGAGTGCATTAAGTCTTATGAAACGTTTTTTTTATGCTATTTTTTGTAATTCGCTTTTTTATCCTTTTTTTTAACAAAATTAAAATAAATTTTGACAATGTAGGGAAATAGGTATGTAGCAGTTGGTAACACCGTAACACTTGAAAATAGAAATTTGAATTGACATTTAGAAACTGTCAAAACACAAAATGTATTCACCCAAAAAAAAATTTTCATGTACACCTCCCAAAATAAGAGAAATTACTAATAGTTCAATTTCCTCATCATTGACCTTTTATTCGATGCTAAGAACGTGTTTAAACATTCATAGACAAAAATTGTCACATTGACAACTAGAAAAATTAATGACCCAATGAAACTTGAAGTGGTTCCATAAAATGTTACTAAAATCTCCTAACAGCGTCAGATGCTGTAAGGTGTCTCATTACGATGCGAATTACAAAAACCATTAAAGTTTCGATGTGACTCCACGTTTTGTTAGATAGACAATAGAATACTAGAACTAACACTAGACCTAGAACTAGAAACATTCGGGTTTAGGCTCAAGTCTCTCAAGACGGCTCCATTGAATTAAAAGTTGCTAAAATATGTGAATTCAGCAAACTATGTACCAATATTGATACTTCCTGCAATGTCTAAAATTTTCTAGCATACAATAGCTGTCAGACTGACAAATTTGTTTAATAAAACTGAGATTTTCAACAATCTCTATCGCGGATATATAAAAGGGCGATCTATTACTAGTGGAGTGTAATACAATCTATTATCAAAGCTATCGATCAATGAAAATATATCGAATTGATGAGCATCGATTTAAGTCTCTCAAGACGGCTAAACCCAAATATTTCTAGGTCTAGTGTTAGTTCTAGTTTTAGTGCAAAAAAAATATGCCATCTTAACCCTAGGATGCATAAACCAGGCCTCTCAAGCCCGGCAAGATTATAGTTACTATAGTTATTTTATTGGTTAACATTTAAAACTAGAACATTTAAATATTAAACATTTAAAACTAGAAATAACATTTAAAACTAGAACTAACACTACACTTAGAATTAGAAACATTCGGATTTAGCCGCACGTCTCTCAAGACGGCTTCTAGTTCTAGGTATAGTGTCAGTTCTAGTTTTACACTTGCACTGTCACTAGAACTGACATTAGACCTAGAACTGGAAACATTTGAGTTTAGCCGTATGTCTCTTAAGACTGCTAAACCCGAATGATTATAGTTCTTGGTCTAGCGCTGCATAACAATAAAAACTAGAACTAACACTAGACCTAGAACTAGAAACATTCGGATTTAGCCGCACGTCTCTCAAGACCACTAAACCCGAATGATTCTAGTTCTTGGTCTAGCGCTGCATAACAATTAAAACTAGAACCTGCACTTGCACTGTCACTAGAACTGACACTAGACCTAGAATTAGAAATATTCGGGTTTAGCCGTTCGTCTTCAGACTAGCACTGTTGCTATGTAGAACTAAAACTATACCTAGAACTAGAAACATTTAACATAGACGGCTAAAGGCACCAGTGTTTGACCTGTTAAGGATTTTTTAATGTCAGTGTTTGACCGAGTCATATTATTTTTCTTGTAGATCCCTCTGCCTTTACATAAAATAATCAAAATATGATCAATACACATCTGATCCATTTAAAGTTACTTACTCTACATATAAAATATAACATCATAAAGCAATATTTTTTAAAAATTAAAAAGTAAAACAGTATTTCGCATTTAGTGTTTGACCACTTTGGTTACATTATTTGACCAATAATAATGTAAATGTTTGACCGATTCTTAATATAATATTCATTTTCATTATTTTTCCATACAATTTTGTTCACAAACAAATGTTTATATTTTTTGACTCTTTAAATGGAGCAAAATGTTCTTGACTTAACTTTTCACCCAAATTTTGTGTTTTCCAACTGAGTTTTTGTAACCCTATCTGCTGAATGAAACAACCATTCAACCAGTAGATTTTCTTCATCAGAATTTAAGAATGCTGGTGGGCCCATTTTCCTCTGCATTGGTGTTTTTTCTTTTTCTTTATAATTAAGAGTTGACTTTGGTACATTAAACATCTTGCCTGCTTTTTCATAAGATAAACCCCTACTTCTTGCATCGAGAGCTTTTTGAAGATCTTCTTCACTATCGAAAAGAACACTCGAAAACTCACTCGAAAAGAACCAAACATTTACATTTATTATTTCAATAATTGACCGCATATTTAAACTGATTGTATCTTATTTTTAAAGTATAAAAGTTTTGGTCAAATACTAAACAATTTAAACGGGAAGATATAAGTTTTAAAAGCAGGTATTACACATTTTTCCATTTTATTAATCAAATATAAATACTTGTGAGATTATAAAACAACCAATTCGTCTAGTATTTGACCGTTTGGTCAAACACTAATTTTTAATTAAATTTAAAACTACCAGTCATTGACCGGCTTTATTTTAACAAATAATTAATTAAAGCGGTAATTTTTTAATATAACCAATAGAAAACATTATTAGATCACTGGCAAACAAAAAAAGACACCATACATGCAAAAACGGCTGAATAGATACTACCTTGTTTGGTCGAATTTCTAAACATAAAAATTACCCTTTTTAGCACGATGTGAATAGGCCGACAGTTAGCGCGAAATTAAATAACAAGAACTCAAGAAGGGTATGGTTGTGGGACTTTTTGCGTAGTAGGGGGTGGAGAAGAGAGTGGTGGCTATTTATGGATAGATTTATTTTTTTTTTTAGATATTCCTTGGATCCTTATTTTTGACGGTCAATTACTGGCGTTTTACTCCAGTGTTAGTTCTAATTTTACACTTGCACTGTTACTACAACTAACACTATACCTAGAACTAGAAACGTTCGGGTTTTGCCGCATGTCTCTCAAGACGGCTAAATCCGAATGATTCTAGTTCTAGGTATAGTGTTAGTTTTACACTAACACTATCACTAGAACTAATACAAGACCTAGAACTAGAATCATTCGGATTTAGCCGTCTTGAGAGACATGCGGCAAAACCCGAACGTTTCTAGTTCTAGGTATAGTGTTAGTTGTAGTAACAGTGCAAGTGTAAAATTAGAACTAACACTGGAGTAAAACGCCAGTAATTGACCGTCAAAAATAAGGATCCAAGGAATATCTAAAAAAAAAAATAAATCTATCCATAAATAGCCACCACTCTCTTCTCCACCCCCTACTACGCAAAAAGTCCCACAACCATACCCTTCTTGAGTTCTTGTTATTTAATTTCGCGCTAACTGTCGGCCTATTCACATCGTGCTAAAAAGGGTAATTTTTATGTTTAGAAATTCGACCAAACAAGGTAGTATCTATTCAGCCGTTTTTGCATGTATGGTGTCTTTTTTTGTTTGCCAGTGATCTAATAATGTTTTCTAGNTCAAATAACTAATTTGTAATTGTAATTTATCATTAAAGTGATTATTTTAGATGATTAATGTGTAATAATTAATTCTTTAAGAAATATGGTAAATAAAATTAAACACATGTATAATTTATTTATTATTTAGCTGGTCAACCAACCACCCCAATTGGTACAACAAGTACAGCAGTGGCCATCCCAGGAACAGCAGGTCCATCTTTGGCAACTGTGGCCCCACCAACAGATCCCCCACATTTCCAATGCCCACGAAGGCCGAACTTGGGCCGGGAAGGTCGGCCAATCGGCCTCAGAGCAAACCACTTCCAAATCACAATGCCCAGAGGTTTTGTTCATCATTACGACGTCAATATACAACCAGACAAATGCCCGAGAAAGGTAATATTATATCAATAAAAGCCCCCAATAAATTTTAATTAAATTTATGATTGTAGGTTAATCGCGAAATAATAGAAACAATGGTTCATGCATACACAAAAATCTTTGGGACATTAAAACCGGTCTTTGATGGTAGAAATAATTTGTACACTCGGGATCCATTGCCAATTGGTAATTCGAGAGAGGAACTGGAAGTAACGTTGCCTGGAGAGGGAAAGGATCGGTTGTTTAGAGTTACAATTAAATGGGTGGCACAGGTGTCACTGTATGGTCTCGAAGAGGCTTTGGAAGGTCGTACTAGGCAGATCCCATATGAAGCTATTATGGCTTTGGACGTCGTTATGAGACATTTGCCATCGATGAGCTATACGCCCGTTGGTAGAAGTTTTTTCAGCAGTCCCGAAGGATATTATCACCCATTAGGTGGCGGGAGAGAGGTTTGGTTTGGATTCCATCAATCTGTTAGACCAAGTCAATGGAAAATGATGCTTAATATTGACGGTTAACAAACAAATCATTCTTCATAATCATCCTTGCTCACTTTTCTTCTTTATATTTTAGTATCAGCAACAGCATTTTATAAAGCTCAACCTGTAATCGAATTTATGTGTGAAGTTCTTGATATCCGGGACATAAACGACCAACGCAAACCGCTCACGGACAGTCAACGAGTCAAATTCACCAAAGAAATCAAAGGTCTTAAAATAGAGATAACCCATTGTGGCACGATGCGACGTAAATATCGCGTTTGTAATGTCACTCGGCGTCCAGCTCAGATGCAAAGTTTTCCTTTACAACTTGACAATGGTCAAACGGTGGAATGTACTGTGGCTAAGTACTTTTTGGACAAGTATAAAATGAAACTACGGTATCCACATTTACCGTGTTTACAAGTAGGGCAAGAACACAAACACACGTATTTACCGCTAGAAGTGTGCAATATCGTAGCGGGGCAAAGATGCATTAAGAAATTAACCGATATGCAAACTTCAACTATGATCAAAGCCACAGCACGATCGGCGCCGGATCGTGAAAGGGAAATTAACAACTTAGTTCGACGGGCGGACTTTAATAACGACGCTTATGTACAAGAATTTGGTTTGACGATAAGTAATAGCATGATGGAGGTGCGTGGACGCGTTTTGCCACCACCAAAGTTGCAGTATGGCGGTCGGGTGGCCTCTCTCAGCGGACAGGTGGGCTGGCACGTTAGTTTCTGTTCTGTACTACCTTTTTTTATTTTACTTTTTAGTGGGTTATTATTTATATAATTCTTTAATTTTTTTTTTTAGTAGTAATACTTTATTTTTATGTTGTAAATAATCTTAAATTTTATTCGAATTGTGTCTATGCAAAGTGATTCAAATCTAATTACAGTAAAATTCCCCTATGGACCATTGATATAAATTCAAACTAATCAAAAAAAGACTTATATTACTGGCAACGCGCGATTTTAACGAATTGCACGAAATTATTAATTAAAAATATATATATAATCAAAGAAATATAAATAAACTCAAAAAAGACTGGAATAATCATAATCCATACTTCAGCAAAAATTTAAGAATTATACTGGTGAAAAACCAAACTTAAGGGAATAGTCAGGACTACTCTGGTCAGAAGGTTAATTTGCAAGAAAAAGTCTGAAATTGCAATAGTTATAAACTAGACTTCAGCAAAAAACAGGAATTACATTGTTCAAAGTCCACATGAAGTCTGAAATTACTGTTCAGAGAAAACAAAAAATTAATTATAAACCAAACATGATTTTTCATGGCAATACTTATGTGTTCAATAAAAGAATGCGAAGAATATGAACAAGAAACCAATAGACTTGTCTTGTTATTGCACAGGACAGGAAATCACCAATACGGAAACTTTGCCAAGGCAGGATAAGCACAAAAGCAAAGTAACAGCTGCAGAAATGAGGTACCGCGTGGTACAAGATCCGTATAGATAATAAGAGGCTCCAAAAATGATGACGATAGACACCCAGAAAGTAGTTGCTGTCAGTATCAAGAACAAAACATACATAACGTTGCCACAAGACTGGATACTGCTTCTAAAAAACTAAATACTGCTTTCTGAAGACTAGATACTGCCGACAGGTCGAAATACAGCGTCTGGAACACAAAATACTGCTTTCTAAAGACTAAAATTGCTTTGTGGAGACTAAATACTGCTTTCTGAAGACTAGATACTGCTGACAGGTCTAAGTACTGCAAAAGAAAGATAAGATATTGTTGGAGAAAACATACATAACGTTGGCAGAAGACTAGATACTGCTTCTAGAAGACTAAATACTGCTTTCTGAAGACTAGATACTGCTAACAGGTCTAAATACTGCAAAAGAAAGATAAAATATTTTGGAGAAAACATACATAACTTTGGCAGAAGACTAGATACTGCTTCTAGAAGACTAAATACTGCTTTCTGAAGACTAGATACTGCCGACAGGTGTAAATACAGCATCTGGAACACTAAATACTGCCTTCTAAAGACTAAAATTGCTTTGTGGAGACTAAATACTGCTTTCTGAAGACTATATACTGCTGACAGGTCTAAATACTGCAAAAGAAAGATGAGATATTGTTGGAGAAAACATTAAAAAGGCGTCGGCGCCCCCTTTTAGGTGGCACTCCTTGCACCCATGTTTGAAATTATTTGGAGTCGGTATAAGCTCCACCCATCCCTGTGACGTCAAGGCTTAGATTGTCTATTCCATAATGACACCATAATAGACTGCCTAAGTCACTTAGTTTATTTTATTTAAATACTAATGAAAAATTGCATATGGTGATTTACCGGTGATGTTTGAAGTCGGTATAAGCTCCGCCCATTTCTATGACGTCAAGGCTTTGGTTGTCTATTTGGTTGTCGCTATGTCAAATCTTTTTAAATAAAAGTTTCAATACCTCGAAAGCTATGCAGTTTAAAGCATTAAAACCTTATGGCATTTTGTAACACCTTGTCAAAAGGAATCCAAAAACCTTAAAATATACAGGATATTCCATTTAAAAAACACACTCACCATGTCGTTACTCAGACTGCCGTCATTATTTTTATTTTATTTCTACCCCAAGATATGCGGAAAATAGTTTCAAGTAACTTTGGTTTAAAACTTTTTTTTATATAAGTTGAAGTTTATGCTGTAGAACCATTATTCCATACTTTTTGTACACCCTGTATAATTCCCTTCTTTTATTATATTGTGGTGGTAATTTTTTCATTCCGTTCTTGTAGAATGAAATTGAAATGTTTCCACTTGATCGTTGGTCTCAAATCGCTTGCCTCCAAGTGCTTCTTTGAGAGGTCTAAACATGTGAGAATCGCATGGCGATAAGTCTGGATAAGTCAAGTTTTCTAGTTCATTACCACCAGTTTTTGTTGCGTTGCAGCTGGTGTGGGGCCTGGCGTTGTCGTGGAGGAGCAACAGCTCGCGGATGAGACAATCTTGTCTTTTGTGTCGATACCTCCATTCCCAAAAACCCATGTCTAACACTTTCCTCACAGGCGTTTCTTCAAAACGAGTTGAGCAATTGAGAAAGTTTTTCCTATAATTTTAAGCACTGAAACGTCGTTCGCGTTCGATAAACTCGCGAGCAATATTTTCATAGCAGCATTACAACATCGTTCCATGTTTGGATCAACATTCTATAAAATCTGCAAGGTTCTCCATTTTATTTAAGCTTTTTTTTAACCGATCGCGCTGATTAGATTTTATGTCTAGAAAACCCAGCACCTTTCGTACTCATTTAGTATTTTTTCAATACTCCCTGGGACCCAAACAGTTAATTTTTCACTTGACATTCCCAATTTCAATGTTATATTGTCTTGAACACTTTCATCGACATNTTTTACTTGATATTCCCAATTTCAATGTCTTGAACGCTTTCATCGACACTAACACTATCATCATCGACATCAACTAGATTTTGTAATTAAAGTAAATCTTCAATGCTAAGTTCTGCTCCATAGGATTGTATTAATTCATCAATATCTTGCTTTCTTTTCTACAAGCTCGCCCACGGTTTCATTTTGAAAATCTTCCACATTTGCTTGTTCATCATCAGGAAATTGAGGACACAAATTATTCCACGCATTATTCATCATGGATTTTAATGCTAGATCTTTATTTTCATCAATCATCTTTATAATGGTTTCAATACTTTGTCGTAAAGAGAGTTTCTTAAATGTGGCAACCATAGTTAACGTTGGTTGGATTTACTGGTGACAAAAAAATTATTTTTATATTAGGGCACAGATCTTCCAGAGTTGTAGGATGCCCAGGGGCATTATTCAGAGTAATATTACTTCAAAGGCGAAGTTATTTTTCGAGATGAGCACAAGTTTTAAGTCATTTTCGTTTATATCTATATTTTAAGTGTATATCAAAATCATCTTGTTTTCCTAATAATTCATTGTCATTTTTTAAAATTGTTGTTAGCGTACTTTGAGGAATACTCAACTATTCAGCAACAATTTCTTTTTTATTTCCTTTCCCTATTTTGTACTAAATATCTTAATTAACGATAGTTTTTCGGTAATCGTTAAGCACTTTAATTTTCACTTACTACTAGCCATTTCAAACACACTATACACCACCTCGCCCCTCATTAATAAACGTTTCTCCTTCCCGTACTTGTCAGTTTCCCGCAACTTCCCCTATTTCATTCAGAGAACAAAAAATACACAGGGATATTACCGGAGCAGTGCGAATCATAAAATCACTGGAATAACAAAAATCGTCTTACAGAACGGATTCAAATACCGTATTTTTTTGCAAAATACGAAATAATGGAATGGAATAATCACCATGCATTCTTAAAATCAAGTTGCGGATAAGATTTGAGAAAATACGGTATTTTATTCTTAGAGAAATTCGAGTTAGAGAAATTATTCGACATAGAGATTTGAGTTAGGGGAATTTTACTGTATTTTTAATTTTTAAATCCATTTTCCCATTTTTGAATCAATCTTTGTATTCCTAATAACAATCAAAAAAAATTTTGTAGCATCTATAAACTTTTCATTTAATACATTTTTCAATAATTAATTTTCACACAGAGTAAGCAACAAGCGATGCCAAATCAAGGTGTTTGGGATATGCGTGGTAAGCAATTTTTCACTGGAGTTGAAATTCGAGTATGGGCAATAGCGTGTTTCGCGCCGCAAAGAACCGTTAGAGAGGACGCTTTAAGAAATTTCACGCAACAACTTCAAAAGATTAGTAACGACGCGGGAATGCCGATAATCGGTCAACCATGTTTTTGTAAATACGCCACTGGACCGGATCAAGTGGAACCAATGTTTAGGTATTTGAAAACGACGTTTCAAAGTCTTCAGTTGGTGGTTGTTGTTTTACCTGGAAAAACGCCCGTTTATGCAGAAGTAAAACGCGTTGGTGATACCGTTTTAGGAATGGCAACGCAATGTGTTCAAGCGAAAAATGTGAACAAAACCTCGCCACAAACTTTATCGAATTTATGTTTGAAGATTAATGTTAAATTGGGGGGAATAAATAGTATACTTGTGCCATCAATTAGACCAAAGGTTTGTTTTAAAGATGTGTTTTAATAATTTATTGATAGTTTTAAATTGATTTGTTAATCTTATTTATTTTATTTTTAGATATTTAATGAACCGGTTATATTTTTGGGTGCTGATGTAACACACCCACCAGCAGGAGACAATAAAAAACCTTCGATAGCAGCTGTTGTGGGATCAATGGATGCCCATCCGTCTAGATATGCAGCGACAGTTCGAGTGCAGCAACATCGACAAGAAATTATAGCTGAACTTAGTTCTATGGTTAGGTATGTAACAATTGTTATTAATAAAAAATGGTTGTGGAATCAGTTCTGTATCATTTCCATCTTCATTTAAAGGTCGTTAAAACATTAATTATGAAATTAAAAAGTACTCAATTTATGTTTCTTTTTTAGTAGCAATTTTATTGTAATGAAGATTTGTAAAACAAAATTCGGTTTAAAGATTAATTTGTTGTAATCAAAAACAGATTTGAGCCATATTATTTATTGGCTCCTTGCTTAGATACATGTGAAAATGGCCATCATCAGTCATAATCCTTCAAAAAACAACTCATTTCCTTGTTTTTCAATAATACTCATAGAAAGTCTCTTTATATAAGATATATGAAAGGAATATAACATTTGCAATATCTTAAGTAGTTGAGAATCTTCATGATTAATATTCACTAGATGGTTACTGGGAGAATTTAGCGATTTACAAGTAATCTAAAAGTATAACTGTCAGTGCATGAAGAAGAACCTTACATCTGGTCTAAAACTTGACTGAGCCAGCGGAAGAATATCAATATTTTCTAAGTGTCTGCAAAGTTTTTCCATAAGTACATCTAATTCTCTAGTACTTTAGTAAAATCAGGATTATAGAAAATATGTACTCTTAGGTTGAGAATATTTTAAGATGGTAATACATATGAAGATGTAACAGTGAAAAGGCAATTTGTCACAAGGATATTAAAAGAGAAATTATTAAAAAATAAACAATAAAAACATATCACATCAAATCAGAGCTATTAATAACAGTGGTCTTTTGCAAATAATTAAAAATATTCTTTTAGCTTGTTATTGTTACTAGTGTTTGGTAAAATTGTACATTCTTGTTCAGCTAGATTCTTCTGTATTGGTGGAAATTCTGCTTCTAAAAATAGACTGTGTATTTTTTCACATCCGTTTTTTTCCCATTACTTAATTTTTCCTCTACAAAAAAGGGAATGTGTTTAATTTTATTATATGTAATATAAATATACAGCACTTTTTATTTAATAAATCCACTATGAAGGAATTTAGAAGAATGAAATTTGGCTAATAATAAATGTTGTTAATAAAATGACACTTTTTGACGATTTTTATAACCTAAAAATGTTATTACAAGAGGCTGAAAAAATCAACCCCTACAATACTTTGCATCAGAACTTTTTCATGCGTCTACATTTTTCTATTTAAAAACTTGATTTAAATAGAGGAGTTCAATACGCAACTTTTTTGTCTCTTGACATTTTCTCCTAAAATTGTTAGTTTGATCACAAAGAAATAAAATAATACACGGGCTTAAATGCATTAATTCAGAGATTGGTTATTATTAGTCAAAGAAATGATGTTATGTCAAATTGATCTCAGCATTATTTTATTTTTTGTGATCAAATTAACAATTTGTTAGTTGTAAAATGTCAAGAAATAAAGTTGCAGATTTTTCCTTTAACTTTACAGGGCTAATTTTTGCTGAAAAATCACCCCTTGAAATCTTTCGCATCAATTTAGAAACACTCTGTATATTAAAAAAGTACGGGGTATGGCAAAACTCAGTTAACTGATATTATTAAATTAATAAAAATATGTGGGTGCAAGTTCTGTCCTGTTTACCATATAGCCAATCATGTTCATGAGTGATATAACTTTTGGGGAACTTTGACACGAAGCTTAAAACACGGCAAAAATAAAAAGAACGAAGTGAAATTACCAAGAAAAAAATTAAAACGAAACCAATTCAGAAGTAGTTACATTCATTTGAATATCACGCGAGCTTCGTGAGATTTTAAAAATTTCGTTGGAATATTAAGAATTTACACATATATATATATGTATATTTGACACCATTAACTTGTTTCGTCTATTTCCAGTAATAAGAAAATGTTTTAAATCGGTTTTAACAATTTCAACACACACCAACAGGCTTTTTCTATTTTTTGGCATCTTTGAAAGTCTTTCAAAAATCGTCAAAATCATTTTTTTTTTTTAATAAAATCATCCTCCTTAAGTATCCTCGAGGTGATTTTAATCGATTGAAATCATTTTGATTTGCCCCAATCAACTTTTCGCATATTCCAAATTTTTTGAATCTTCTGCAAAACACCCTCTTTGCCTCCATTAACTTATCCATCTTACGAACGAGTGACATTCATCCGTGTTCATCGTCATGGCTGCGCAACACCAATAAAAGTACACGAAAGCCGAACCGATCTGCCTGTTGTCAGGGTACCTACGGTACTATGTCAATTACAGCACGATTTTTAAAGTGTTTGCGGGGTAGTCTTATTCCTACGAGGCAAATGGTTTACAAACTACAATACTACCCGTAGTTCGGGTCGGTTTTCGAAGTGCTGAAGCGTTCGTCGAGGTACCAACCAAATCTGCACGTCGTATGTTTCTTAAATTAGAAATGTATGTTAAAAAAATTTAATATGTGTTTCTAACGGAAAATGACTCTGATCGTAGACTTGAGTTTTGCGAGTGGTACACTAGGTGCGCTGAAGACGACATAATTTTTTTCAAATCCATTCTTTGGAACGATGAAGCGCAGTTCAAACTGAACGGGCGAATTAACCATCACAATTGTGTATACCGGGCATCTGAGAATCCCCATGTCACCATAAACATGGAATTATATGTTAAATCCATTGTTATTTTGTAGCCCACTACGGGTTGGTTGCCTGCACACTACGTCACACTATTTGCCACGCCCAGTTAACTGTCATTGGGGTCTATGCGTTTGCTCTCAAGCGATGCCAATTATGTATTGATGAAAAAAACATAAGAGGTAACTGAATAAATTATGTTTTTTCATTAAGTAATTTTTTTTTATTAATTTGTTAATATCGATTAACTGACTTTTGCTGCACCCTGTATTATTATATACAACATAATTTATTTATAATTTGATTCAAATTCTTCAACGGATTCAACTATAACTGCCTTGACAGCTGTACTCCTTTACATATCACTCCTTTTATAACGTATCGTTCTTTTGCAGGAATGGTTGCTAATTTTTAAGCATTTTTTTGGCTTTACCAAAAGCTCGGTCGGCTGGTTAATACTTGTAATCATGCATAAAGAAGTGCAATTAAATTGCGTTAAGTGAAGAATCTTGTGTTTAAAAAATAAATAACATTATGTGTATAACAATACCAGCGCTAAATAGTTTTAATACACATTATGACGGGAAAATCTGTCCTTTGAAAAAATTCATTCTATTTTAACCGGTATTCAAATAGCGTGATCGTGCTGCTTGGGACTCAAACGGTTAAATCAACCATTCCAAAGTTGTAAAAAGAAATCGTCGGAATTAATAAATTTTAGATTCAGGTAGAACTTTTATTTGTAGAAAATTGAAACAGAATTCAATACATAAAGTAATAAAAAGCGTTGGCCCTCATTTTATGAATGCTTTTTGCTGTGCAAAACAACGAATATGTGAATTCTAAACTTCTAGTACATCTTCATTATACAGTTAAGCTGCTTTTTGTTCTGAGGAAAGCATTTAATAAATACTTTTCGTCTTATTTGTGTCGTAGTGATTTTCTGATACACTCTTCTTTTGAAACTGTTTTTGTTATGGTTTATAATCTGGCGTGTTCAATTGTTATCACTTCCGGGAAATGTTTTTACTTGCGAATTTGAAATTATGAGTAGAAACTGTTTTCTTGTAGTATTTTGTAATGAAAAGATGCTCTGTTACTTTTTTTTTATATTTTGTGGTTTGTGTTTTTTGTTTAACTGGAAAAGTTCTAATAAGAGAAGATATAATGCTATCTTGCAGTATGTGAAGTGTTTTGATCAAGAAATTTTTCTCATATTCTGAGAGCAAAGCTAGAAAAAATTTATGTTTTTAATAATTCAGCTTTTTGGAGACAGCTCTTTTTCTACCAGTTAATTTCTTGTTGTGACTACTACCATTACTCACATCTACTTTTAGACTGTCTGTTTCGTCTTCCATATAATCTTGTCCACATAACTTCAATATTAGTGTATCACACCATAACGTAAGTGAAATGTTAATTTACAGTCTGAATATATCGCAATATTTTATGAACTGTAGAAACTAAATGTAGTTTCTTAATAACAAATCTCGTTATGGTTAAATTCCAATATGGCAGCTTATAATTAATCATTCAAAAAGTATTCCACTAAAATAAAATTAATAACAGAAACGCAACCGTATGAGTGGCAAGTCTAGAGCAGAAGGCAAAGAACTGGCGATAGACAACTTAGTTTTTCCTAAATGTTTTTGTAAATAATTACAATTTTAATTAAAATTAACTTTGGCCTCTTTTCTTTGTTTCCGTCTTCTTTTTTAGAGTCATTCTTATTTTGTAAATATCTTTAAACATTTTGTAGTTCGAATTGTTTTGTTTACACGAATTTTCAATATACTGTGTAATTAATTACATATAAGAGCGTAAAACAACTTTTCTAATCTATGGCAAGTTTCTAAATCCAGAGTATTTTGGCGTCTTCTCTTCTTGATGACACTTATATTTGCTTCAGCAGTAGCTAACCAGATAATATCTTCTTTTAGAGATAATCTATGTTGGACCAATTTAAAGTTTCTGAGACGTGTGATGTCTACACACCATATGTTCTTTTCTGAATGAATATGATATATAACAACGGTGGGCAAAGGCGGCTCTTTGAAAGATTATTTGTGGCTCTCGGGGTCTTTTTTTTTTTTTTTTTAAGTATATAAAATATAATTTCTCAAAAAAAATTGTTTTTAATATATACGTATTTAATTGCGGCTCGCGAAAAATTTCGAATTTTCAAAAATGGCTCGGACTATCAAGGAGCTTGCCCACCCCTGATATATAATAATCATCAAATTTTATTTTTATTCTATTTGTTTGCAGAGAATTGCAAAGTTACATTGTTACTGTTGTGGTTCTTTTTATGGTATTAACAGATATTGCTATATTTTTGACTTCCCTTCAAGGAATGACTTTCTTGATTCGATTGAAGTATAGAACGCTTTGAACGCAAATTATCTAATGTAGTCGTTCTTAGTAGTGATGGAACGGATAGTGATTTTGCGAAAAGCCGGATATCGGATATTCGGCATCCCCTTCGGCCGGATATCCGGCCATTATGGTTATAATTTGTAGTACATTTCTGAAGTGATACCCTACATTGCCACATTATTGCGATATTTGAATAAAAATGAAATTAATAAGAAAGCTGATAAGATATGTCAACTTATTTGGATACAAAGATACAAAATCAACTTTATTGATGCTGATTTAACTAACGAAGCAACTCTAAAAATAGGATACTTTAATTAATAATTGGATATTTCCACAAGGATCCTTCAACAAATTAATTTTATAGCGAATTTTGAAAATTATCGATGAAAATTGCAACATCGAAAATTTTATCAAAACTTCAAATATTGTTTTCTCAAAAACTAAAAATTATTTTTCAAAACGGGTTGGTTCATTGGAAAGAGGACACTTTTATTAACACTTTGGGAAATTTTCATACTAATATTCCAAGAAGTGGATTTTATACGAATTTTTTAAACTTAATTGCAAAATACTTTAAGGAGGATACTTGAGGATAGTTTAATTAATAATCGAAAATGATAACAGCGACAGTTCTGTTAGTAATGAATGTGATGATGAATTACAAGAGAAGAGAAGAAAACTAGATGAAACTGCAACAAGAGATTTTATATATTGTATTGGGATTGTTACAATGAAGTTGCTAATAACAAACCTGATATAAATAAAGTTGTATTCAATGAAAAAAGTCCTATTAGGGTTGAACTTGATTATTATCTGCAGTATCCAACACCTAAAAGAGATACTAATACATTTTGTCGCCAAATTGAAAATGAAAATAACAAGTTGGGCGTCGTAATTTCACAACGTGTGATCCAACTACGTTTAGGATACTCCTGTATGACTCTGAGGGCTTCTGGTTGTCCATTTAACAGGAGATTGTCTAAACACGTTCTTCACTTAATGAAAAACTGTCAAATAAATTTTGTTTTAGAAAAGACTAGGCATTAGATTGTGGAGGTTCATCAGTTACAACATAATTTAAAAATGTTTTAACCATCTTCAATTTGTGATCAAAACGATAAAAAAAATATAGATCTCAAAATAGTATATTTAAATTAATCCAAAATAATCTTTTTCAGGGAATTACTGATAATGTTTTATAAATCAACTGGTGGATATAAACCTCACAGAATAATACTGTACAGAGATGGGGTTTCAGAGGGGCAATTTGTGCAGCTTCTGCAACACGAACTGACAGCTATTCGTGAAGCTTGCATAAAATTGGAAGCCGAATACAAACCGGGTATAACGTTTATTGTCGTCCAGAAAAGACACCACACGCGTCTTTTCTGCGCCGACAAGAAGGAACAAAGTGGTAAAAGCGGAAATATTCCCGCCGGAACAACGGTGGATGTTGGTATCACTCATCCTACAGAATTTGATTTCTATTTGTGTAGTCATCAAGGAATACAGGTAATACGATTTTAATTAAATAATTCAAGATTTTTTTTACTTACTTATTTTTTTTTTATTTTCATAGGGAACATCTCGTCCGTCTCATTATCACGTCCTATGGGATGATTCTCATTTGGACTCTGATGAATTACAGTGTCTCACATACCAGCTTTGTCATACATATGTGAGATGTACCAGATCCGTATCCATTCCAGCGCCGGCGTATTATGCCCACTTAGTTGCATTCCGAGCAAGGTACCATTTGGTCGAGAAAGAACATGACAGGTTAGTTTTTACAACTCATATAATGCAGAAATTNTATCCGGCCATTATGGTTATAATTTCTGGTACATTTCTGAAGTGATACCCTACATTGCCACATTATTGCGATATTTGAATAAAAATGAAATTAATAAGAAAGCTGATAAGATATGTCAACTTATTTGGATCCAAGATACAAAATGAACTTTTTTTATGCTAATTTAACTAATGAAGCAACTCTCAAAAGAGAATACTTCCTTCAAGAAATTAATTTTATAGCGAATTTTGAAAATTAGCGATGAAAATTGCAACATCGAAAATTTTATCAAATCTTCAAATATTGTTTTCTCACAAACTAAAAATTATTTTTCAAAATGGGTTGATTCATTGGAAAGAGGACACTTTTATTAACACTTTGGGAAATTTTCATACTCATATTCCAAGAAGTGGATTTTATACAAATTTTTTAAACTTAATTGGCGAAAATTGCAAAATTCAAAAAAATTTTCGATCATTTCAAAAATTTATTTCTGAAAAACTGAAAGTGATTTTCAAAACATCGGCAATTCTGTTAGCAATGAATGTGATGATGTGATTACAAGCGAAGAAAATTAGATAACTGCAACAAGAGATTTTATATATCGTATTTAAATTTTATTTTTTCTTAGTCTTTCTTTGCAACCATGGCCATCACAATTTTCATTTTGTCACCAAATTCAAAATGAAAATGACAAGTTGGGCGTCGCAATTTGACAACGTGTGATTCGCCAATTACGTTTAGGATACTCCTGTATGCCTTTGAGGGCTTCTGGTTGCCCATTTGACAGGAGATCGTCTAAGCGCATTCTTCACTTAATGAAAGACTCAATTAAATTTCGTTTTAGAAAAGACTAGGCATTAGATTGTGGAGGTTCAACTACATGAGTTACAACATAATTTAAAAATGTTTTAATCATCTTCAATTTTTGATCAAAACGATAAAATATAGATCTCAAAATAGTATTTTTAAATTAATCCAAAATAATCTTTTTCAGGGAATTACTGATAATGTTTTATAAATCAACTGGTGGATATAAACCTCACAGAATAATACTGTACAGAGATGGGGTGTCAGAGGGGCAATTTGTGCAGCTTCTGCAACACGAACTGACAGCTATTCGCGAAGCTTGCATAAAATTGGAAGCCGAATACAAACCGGGTATAACGTTTATTGTCGTCCAGAAAAGACACCACACGCGTCTTTTCTGCGCCGACAAGAAGGAACAAAGTGGTAAAAGCGGAAATATTCCCGCCGGAACAACGGTGGATGTTGGTATCACTCATCCTACAGAATTTGACTTCTATTTGTGTAGTCATCAAGGAATACAGGTAATACGATTTTAATTAAATAATTCAAGATTTTTTTTACTTACTTATTTTTTTTTTATTTTCATAGGGAACATCTCGTCCGTCTCATTATCACGTCCTATGGGATGATTCTCATTTGGACTCTGATGAATTACAGTGTCTCACATACCAGCTTTGTCATACATATGTGAGATGTACCAGATCCGTATCCATTCCAGCGCCGGCGTATTATGCCCACTTAGTTGCATTCCGAGCAAGGTACCATTTGGTCGAGAAAGAACATGACAGGTTAGTTTTTACAACTCATATAATGCAGAAATTTAAAAAAAATCAATAATTTTAAAAAATTTATGGTGGCAACTTTAAATTTATTTAAAAATATAACAACATATTTATATATATATTTTATGAGGATAAGTATGTTATATATAAAGTGCTTTATTACTTACCACAAGATAAATGCACTAAAATAACATCAAAATCACGCACAGAATAATTCGTATAGAACCACACACGACAACGGCGTTTATGGTATGCCAGGGGAATATTTCCATGGCTATTAGAAAACATGTGGAGTGTGATAACCTTATCACCAAAGGCATTTTTGGTAATGTAATTTTGAAGCGTGCGTTAATCAAACGCTTAAGACAAATATAGTTTGGAAGTGTAGATTGCGTTGCCAGTATTAGGTGAATTAGTAAATATTAAAGTGACATTATAACTTTAACATTTCTATGTTTGAATTGTTATTAATTTGATGATATTGTAACTATGTTGTATGACAAAAACTGAAATAATGTCACACCAGTGGTACATTTCCAATTATCGCGATTACACTCTTTCTTGTTTTAAATAAGAGCACTTAGAAGAGCAGTTTTATTTTGTTGTGTCGATTGTCATCCAACGTGTATTACGCGAAGATGGTGTATAAGTAGTTGTTTCATTTCTAGCAAATGCATTTTGAATCTTAGACATGGCCTTGACACCAATACATTCCTGTATTATAGACTTGCTAGATAAAACTAGGAATATGAGTAACCCTAACACGTGTTTTTACGATCTTACTGCACTACAGAGATCTTAAAAAGGTGCTGTTTAATTAATCAAAATTAGTCTTTGTATATCTCACAGATGGCGTATTTACATCTAATTCGAAAATGGTAATTAAATTTCTACTGTAATAATTTTGTTTTAAATATTATTTATTTATAATACTCAAAAGTTCTTCGAAGTTACTAGATTTAAACATTTTTTATTACTATATTTTTAATTATTATTTTAAACTTGAGAGGCGGGGGAGTTTTATGATTCTGCAATACTGATCCGTTTTAAGTTCACCTTCACTCGATAAATTATTATGCTCGCTTTGTGATTTTAATCTATTTTGATTTTCTATTGTTCTCTACTGTTACGCGATAATGTTTTTGTTAAAAAAAAATATCTTTAAGAAACATTCTTGAATACCTACCTTATTTTTCATGCTGATTAAACCAAAATTGATAACGTGTTTTTGTAATCATTGCTTTAATCACATCTGAAAGTTACAAAATTGAATTACTAAGGTTAAATCAAGTTAAATCAAATGTGTACTTGTAAATTTGTCATTTCTTTTTCAAACGTTTTTAACTTTGCGATATCAAAGTTGTAATACAACAACATAATATTCTTCGTTTAATTATTAACAATGGAACTGAACTGTAATTAACTTGAAATTTAAAACGTTCTTAATGTATAAAATGACGATATAATGCACACACAATAATGCACAGTAGTGAGAAAGAACGGTAGTAGATCTCGATTAGAGAATATGTATCACGCGAATATTTGACTTGGCACTATGGGAAGCGTGTTGCGTAGTAAACCTGTTATTTAAACCCTCTCTCACAACGTTCAGTTAATACGTGCGTTTGATACATTACGCGCATTAGTGTCTATTTAAGAGACAAATTCCACCTTTGAAAATTCAGAGATTATTAACAATTTTGTTTAGACAAGTTTCCATCACAGCTTACGATTTCGCTTATTAAGGCTCCTTAACCGCTTGATGAGAATATGTTTGACGACAGAGAAACGAAAGTTCAAAAAAGGATAGCATGTACTGGCAAGACATTCCCACTGTTTTCCCGTTGGGTAATATGCATTTTATTAATGAAGGAATGAATAAATAGATTTATGAATAACGTATTTACAACCTGAAACAATTAAGAACGAAATCATAGAAAAATATTTTTAACTTTGGATACATTCATTCTAACAGGACTCCACACCAAAAAATAAAATTTCTTTTTCTTTGCTAGATGAAGTTGTCCCTGAATTTGGCAATAATAATCATGGTTCGACTTAAGATATTTTCTACAAATTCTAACAAGTAATACTAGGGAAGTGTCATACGGCGATTTTCTTGAAACTTGGCATACAAGCAGTGTATGGAAAAATATTCGACACGTATATCGCCATATCTGCCCGATCGCCGTTTTAAGGGTAGTTTTTTTTTAAGGTAGTTTAAGGGTATTCACCCTTTCCGATTTTGAAGATAAGTTCGATTATTTTACGAATTATTTTTACGATTGTTGCGAAATCATTTCACTACGGGTTTTTGGCGTCGCTGGTGACGAATCTGATGTCCGTTTTCGAGAATTCAAAATGGCGACCGCAGTTTTTTAAAAATTGTGCACCCTTGTTAAAAATTGCGACAAATTTTTGAAAATGTTAGAAATAAGGATAATTTTAAGACGAATTTCTAGAAAACGGTTAATATCAAAACTACCCCTAACAATAACGAATCATGGAAACACATCACTACAAGTAGTGATGCATGTAACAATCAAATCTTTTTTATTGTTAGCGCTACCCCAGATGAACGACGTGGATGTAATAGGGTTCTCATCTCATTGGGGTGCTTTCTCAAGCATATTTACTTATTGCAATATCATTGCAGAGTACACACAAGTTATTGCAGTTTTTGAAACAGAAGTAAACCAGAAGAAAATAGAAGAAAAACCCCTAGTGACATAATTTCTCAACAATCGTAAAAATAATTCGTAAAATAATCGAACATATCTCTAAAATCGGAAAGGGTGATTTCTACCCTTAAAACGGCGATCGGGCAGAAATGACAATACACGTGTCGAATATTTTTCCATACCCTACTTGTATGTCAAGTTTCAAGAAATTCGCCGTATGGCACTTCCCTAGTGTTACTTGAAAGTGTACAGAGTGATTCTCAACCTATACACATAAACTCGAGGATTTATTCATTATTAGTAAAATTTTTTTAGTTTCTCTAAATCTAAATAATGTATTTCCTGGAAATTGAATAGGTCGAGATGGTCCAATGACCTAGCTACCGTGATCGCCCAGCCTCAACCCTCTTGATTTTTACTTGTCGGGTCGCTTAAAAAGCAAAGTGTACGTAACGGAAGTTAATACTGAGCCAATATTGCAAAATCATTTACATGCTGCTGCCCAGACAATTCGCCAACACCCTGGTTTAGACCGCGCTAATGGGAGATCGTGGATTCCGGGAGGCCAATTGATAGAAAATATGGGAAATCACTTCGAACACTTGCTGTGATGTTATTTTAAAATGTTCTATGTATTCTTGATAGTTAATATCACGGATATCTATGAAACAAAAAATCTTTTACTACAAATTTTTTTGCCTATTAGTCATTATTCGTCGTGAGTAGTAAATCTCCAAGTTTATGCGTATAGGTTGAGAATCACCCTGTATTTATATAAAATAATAATAATATAAAAATACACTTTTGGTTCGTATTTACGCGCAAATCGATAATCAGAACATTCTATAGCACGATATCAGAAAAAGTAAGCTTCCTCCCCTTTCATAGTATGCNCAGAAATGACAATACACGTGTCGAATATTTTTCCATACCCTACTTGTATGTCAAGTTTCAAGAAAATCGCCGTATGGCACTTCCCTAGTGTTACTTGAAAGTATACAGGGTGATTCTCAACCTATACACATAAACTCGAGGATTTATTCATTATTAGTAAAATTTTTTTAGTTTCTCTAAATCTAAATAATGTGTTTCCTGGAAATTGAATAGGTCGAGATGGTCCAATGACCTAGCTACCGTGATCGCCCAGCCTCAACCCTCTTGATTTTTACTTGTCGGGTCGCTTAAAAAGCAAAGTGTACGTCACGGAAGTTAATACTGAGCCAATATTGCAAAATCATTTACATGCTGCTGCCCAGACAATTCGCCAACACCTTGGTTTAGACCGCGCTAATGGGAGATCGTGGATTCCGGGAGGCCAATTGATAGAAAATATGTATATCTTACTATTTTCAAAAATAAAGCAATATTTTTCTTCAAATTTCATTTTCTGTTCTTGCCCCGGGTTCATAACTATTGTAGAAACATGACAAATGATAAATTAATCCAATCGATTAATAAATAAGGAAGTAATTCGAAATCTACGGTGACAGACTCGGTTAAGGAGCCTTAATTAAATATGATTTTATCAAACTAATGCTTTCCGTATCAAAATTGTATTTAGTCAACATCTTCAATAATAGATCATATAACCAGTGATGGGCGCTGGGTAAATACCCGGCGCGGCTTGTAGGTATTTATAAAATAGGTATTTATTCGGATATTTATCCCAGCCCAGGGTAAATACCCAAACAGTACGTATAAAAGTGATACATGTAAAAATATAACAGATTCGGAAAAAAATAAACCGGAAGATGATGAAATGTTATCAGACGAATCTGTTGTGATTTAGATTAGATCAATGTTATGATAAACTTGTTTATTTTTTTAGTGCACTTTGTACTCTTTTTAAATTATATCATCATCAAGCAGCCCTCTGCGACCATTGTTGAACAGGCTTCCCTTATTCTGTTCCATTCGTTTCTATTTTGTGCTGTCTGAATCCACTTGTTGGTTGTTCTTTTGACGTCGTCCGTCCAGCGTGTAGGCGGTCTTCCTCTACTTCATCTATCCGTTCAAGCAACCGTTTTGTCCACTGCTCATTCTTCATTCGCGCGACATGACCCGCCCAGTTCCACTTGAGCTTTGCCACAATGTTGACCTCATCCTTTACGCCAGCTCTCCTTCTTAGGTCTTCTTTTCTAATCTTGATGTTAGAGCTGGGAACAAGATTTGTCATAAATTTTGATTTCTCCAAGTTGATATTTAGCCCGACTCTTGCAGACACCTCCTGTAAGTCGTTCAGCATCAGTTGCATCTCTCCAAGGCTATCCGAAATAAGGTCTACATCGTCCGCGTAGCGCAAATGACTTAAGTATTTGTCATCAATGTTTTTGCCTTTTTGGATCCAATCCAGTTGTTTAAATGTATTCTTCAGGACTGCGATGAACAATTTGGGGACATTGTATCGGTTTATCTTACCCCACGCCCAATAGGTATTCGGTCAGTACTTTCATGCAATTTTATCGTCATTGTAGCATTCTTGTAGATGTTATAAACAAGTTTGGTGTATTGATAATCGACTCTGCATTCTTGAGGTACTTGCAAAACTGCCATCAACTCAATTCAAATTAAATTTTATAAATACCTCTAACTACCTATCTTGGGTATATATCCAGGGAATTTTCCCTTGAAAATAAATACCCGGGTATTTAACAACACTGCATATAGCTGATATGATCAAGAAGACACCAGATAAAATAAATAAAAATGGTTTTGATACAATTTTCGCACTCATACGAATGACATTAACAGTGGTCTCACTGATTCTACTGATAGTGTCGTGTAGTGATGGAACGAATAGTGATTTTGCGAAAAGCCGGATACCGAATATTCGGCATCCCCTTCGGCCAGGTATCCGGTTATCTGGCATATCTATCCGGCCATTATTGCTATATTTGAATAAAAATGAAATTAATAAAAAAGCTGATAAGATATGTCAACTTATTTGCTGATTTACTTATAGATGCTGATTTAACTCACGAAGCAACTCTAAACAGAGGATACTTTAATTAATAATTGGCAATATTTCCACAAGGATTCTTCAAGAAATTAATTTTATAGCGAATTTTGAAAATTATCGATGAAAATTGCAACATCGAAAATTTTATCAAAACGTCAAATATTGTTTTCTCAAAAACTAAAAATTATTTTTCACAACGGGTTGGTTCATTGGAAAGAGGACACTCTTATTAACACTTTGGGAAATTTTCATACTCATATTCCAAGAAATGGATTTTATACGAATTTCTAAAACTTAATCGGCGAAAATTGCAAAATTCGAAAAAATTATCGATTATTTCAAAAATTTATTTCTCAAGAACTAAACGTGATTTTTCAAAACGACTTTTTGCATTAAGAAGAGGATACTTTAATTAATAATTGGTGATGTTTCCACAAGGATCCTTCAAGAAATTAATTTTATAGCGAATTTTGAAAATTATTGATGAAAATTGCAACATCGAAAATTTTATCGAAACTTCAAATATTGTTTTCTCAAAAACTAAAAATTATTTTTCAAAACAGGTTGTTTCATTGGGAAGAGGACACTCTTATTAACACTTTGGGAAATTTTCATACTCATTCCAAAAAATTGTTTTTATACGAATTTTTAAAACTTAACCGGCGAAAATTGCAAAATTCGAAAAAATTGTCGATTATTTCAAAAATTTATTTGTCAAGAACTAAAAGTGATTTTTCAAATTAATTTTATAGCGGTTTTAGCAAATGAGTGCAACAAGATCTGGCCACGCTATCTTATAGAGGGTAATTTTAGATACAATTAGCAGTAGTCAGATACGCGGAGCACATTTGCGTTTACTTGTGGCGAATTTTTTTCGTTAGGGGGTAGGAAAACCGTCTTTAGGAAATGAGTGCAACAAGATGTTGTCACACTATCTTATAGAGGGTAATTTTAGATACAATTAGCAGTAGTCAGATACGCGGAGCACATTTGCGTTTACTTGTGGCGAATTTTTTTCGTTTGGGGGTGGCTAAAACCGTCTTTAGCAAATGAGTGTAACAAGATCTGGCCACGCTATTTTATAGAGGGTAATTTTAGATACAATTAGCAGTAGTCAGATACGCAAAGCACATTTGCATTTACTTCTGGCGCATTTTTTTCGTTTGGGGGTGTCAAAACCGTCTTTAGGAAATGAGTGCAACAAAATCTGGCCACGCTATCTTATAGAGGGTAATTTTAGATGCAATTAGCAGTAGTCAGATACGCGGAGCACATTTGTGTTTACTTGTAGCGAATTTTTTTCGTTTGGGAGTGGCTAAAACCGTCTTTAGGAAACGAGTGCAACAAGATCTGGTTACGCTATCTTATAGAGAATAATTTTAGATACAATTAGCAGTAGTCAGATACGCGGAGCACATTCGCGTTTATTTGTGGTGATTTTTTTTCGTTTGGGGATGACTAAAAGCGTCTTTAGGAAATGACTGCAAGAAAATCTCGGCACGGTATCTCATAGGGGGTAATTATAGGTATATTTTACAGTCATCAGATACGCGGAGTACATTTCGTTAAATGACCGCAACAAAATCTGACCACTCTATTTTATAAGGGATAGTTTTAGATACACTTTACAGTAGTCAGATTCGCCGAGCACATTCTCGTTTACGTGGGGTTATACTTATTATTTAGCTAAAAATGATCGTATAAAACCAAGTTTAGCGTATACTCGGATGTCTTCGGTAAAACGGGTTGCTTGTTTGGCGTGCTGTTTTCACACAGGTACTAAACTGCAACAAGAGGTTTTATATATCGTATTGGGATTGTTACAATGAGGTTGCTAAAGACAAACCTGATATAAATAAAGCTTAAAATGTTAACGTGATGGACAGAAACTGCAGTTATTTTTGGATGCAGAAGTCAAAAGTAAGCTAAAAACAAGTCAAAGATTTAAGACAACGAAATTGCTGTTCTGTGGTGTTATTGAGTATAACGAAAATGTTTTCATATTGACGCCAGAAAAAATTAAAATAATAAATCAGAATTACAGATATTGGTACAGAAGTAATTGTTTCAAAAATAGAAATGTATCCCAAATACGAGTTATAAATAATGTTTGTGTAACATTGTTTTGAATGTCGAACGTTTTACTCTTCAATTGTTAATATCGAAGGATATTAATATTGTTTTTTTTATTGTTTTAGCGGTGAAGGTTCGCACCAGTCTGGTTCATCAGAAGATAGAACTCCAGGAGCTATGGCTAGAGCGATCACAGTTCACGCTGATACCAAAAAGGTCATGTACTTTGCTTAGAAATATCACACACCACCATACACAACACATGCCCGCAACAAACCAAAATTACATATTATTATTATTATAACTGAGCGTAAAAATAATGTGTGCTGGTTTGATTGCGATGAATATTTTACTATAAAACGAATTAATAACAAAAAAAAAGCAGAAACGTTTGCAGTCAGCATTACACAAAAATAAAAAATCGAAAAAATTAAAAAAAAAAAGGAAAACATTATTATTTAGGTTATGTTTATTTATCATGCAGCCAATTTGTGTAGGTAAAGACAAAGTTAAAAGAAATCAATGCAATTTATGTAACCAAAAAACCCCTCTACCAAATAACGTTAAAAACTTCCTCTCATCTCCAAGCTCGATAAAAACTAATTTAATGCTCAGTATGATCTAGTTCTTTTATTATGTAATCAAATCAAATCGTTTTCTTGTTATTTTTTTTGTATAATTGCTGCCATATGTATTTTGTAGAATGGAAGGTCTTCATTACGTGTGATAAAAAAATATTGGAATCAAAGAAAAAAAAAGGGAAACAAATTTTAAAATTGTATTTATAATGTATATGATGATTGATTCTTAAAAAAAAAGAAAATTAATGCCGGGATATTAATATACATATTATTGTTGTTTTATGTATGTTTTACATTATAGACAACATTTAAGTATGAAAGCTTTAAAAAACTTTTGTACCAACGATAAACCTAGTAAAAATTACATTGATCTTGTCAATACTTTTATGAGCACAAAAAAAAATATTAATTTTTATTTAAATTTAAATCGAGTGTAAGTTTAGAAAAAAAAATGTTTTGTATTTTCTACTCCTAACAATTATTTTATTTTTATTATTTTACCTCATCGACCATCTTCTCGTTATTAACCATTTGAGTAACAATATTTTTCTTTTTCAATTTAAATCACCCAAGTATCATCATAACGCTCAAACGGTTAATAGAGATGCCAAGCTAATTATTTTTTGTTTTATTAATTTAGTCTGATTCACAGTACTAGAAGGAAATTAAAACGCAGCGGATTATTTATAATTATTAAATATTTCCTGCGATTTATTACCTTTTTATTGAATTCTCTGATAATATTAAAAAAAGCATCGTCATTTTGCATTTTGTTAAAGTAATGAAATGAGTTTTATGTCAAAGACACCACATAAACACCAATTCTTTAAAGATTTTAAAGCAATCAAATTTATACGAATAACGATCTCATTTTTTTTTAAATTAAATATAAAAGTCAAACAGAATTTTTAAGATTAACATATCAAATGATGATGGGGAGTAATGTTGTAAAAACATCGCACAATAATGTTGAGAAGTCTTAATTTTTTTATATTAATGACCTCAAATTAAATAACATTTCGTTTATTCTTTTATATATAAACTCTAATTAGGTAGGTAATTTATTTTAAAAACTGGGAGGACAAAATCTAATTTTATCTTATATCATAACTATAATAAATAACACGTGGCGTTTACAGGACACAATTCTACCGCGTGCTAGTTCAAAGATATACCAAAGAATGTTTGCGAGGCAGCGAAGACTATTGGACATCTTTGCGTGCAAAGGAATACATGCAACATTCTTTATTATGTCTAAACTTGCGTCCGACAGAATTATCAATGCTGCTTGTTGCTGTTGCGCTATGTTTGTACAGTATGTTAATTAATTAATTATTGTACTCGACGTCATCATTGCAAGTATGCAACCAATATCATAGTATTTATTTTGCAATATCAATACTGTGATATTGGTTGCATACTTGCAATGTTGACGTCGAGTACAATAATTAATTAACACACTGTATATACCTTAACAACGTTTTAAAACACCTGTACAAAAGCGTTTCTTAATTATTAGCTATTAAAGTGTTGATATCCATCATAGATATAAATATTTCTGTTGTTAATGAAGATAAAAAATCAATAACAATAAAAGTTAAATAAATATTGATACACTTAAAATTAATTTAATATATATCAATGATTACTACGTATTATTTTAATCAAATTTGAATTTGTCTTCTCAGTTTTTATTAAGTACCCTTAAATATGTTACTAAAACTACTAATAACTAAGATAAAAAATAAAAAAGGGTATTACATGCCATAATTTATCCAGAAATTAGTTTTTAAGATGTAAATAATTTCTTTTTTTGTTTCATTAGAGGAGTAATAAACTATTTTGTTAAAATAGATTTTCATTTCTATGGTTGCAAATATAAATAGAGGCAAAATATTATCTAATTTTTATTATTATTTAAGAAAATTTTCTAATTATTAAACGATCTCATCCAAACAAGAACTTCAAAAACAAACTCTAAAAAAGTCGAACTATTTTCTTTATAATTTTTAAATTTATCTTAGAAAATATTATGTCATAATTTATTGTAAATATAGTCATGATTGCGATTCAATTTATATTAAAAATAACTACAATTAGTTAATATGCGATATAATAATAATAACAAAAAAAGAAAAGGGCGAAATTTTAATAATAGTAATAACGGTTATCTTTTACTAAGAAAATTAAGATAATAATCATTCCATAATAAAATAATAACAGAATGCAAAATGCCAATTTTCCTTTAACTTTTTTAGTTATCTTTTAGCGTTTACTCTCCACTAGCTTGTAAGATCTTTTAGATTTTAGCAAAGAAGCGATTATATCGCTTTTCTTATAATTTCGATTTCCTCTGTACAAATACTATCATACATCAAATTGTATCGATCTTTAAAATTTGATTTATGAAAGTAATCCCTTAAACGAAAAGCTCTTATTAATTACTAGATAAAGATAAATCAATCTAAAACCAACAAAAAAGAGAAGAAAAATACTTTATGTCTTTCATTAGAAACTTAGATAAAATACAAAATGCGTTTCATCTTGCAATTAAATATTTTTAAGCTTCATTATTAAAATTGAATTCTTATTATTATTTCTTCCCGCTTGAATAATTAATTAAATTTATGCTTGTACAAAAGAATTCTTATTATTACAGAAAAAAAACGGAGTATATATAAAATGTGGTCTAAACAAAAAAGAAAGAAATAATTAGCTGAAATAGTATAATAAATTAATAAGTGATGTGATTTTGAGGGAATGAAGCAGCTTATATAAAAGTTATTGTATTGCACATTCATTAATTATATAATTTATATACAAAGTGTTTTTTTTTAAGTACAGCTCCGTAATATACGAAAAAAAAAGTTTTTTTTTAGGGAACACCTTAAATTAATTTGTGTGCAAAATCGAATATATATATCATAACATTTATTAATTAAATAAACCACGGTTATTTTTGCTGTTTTGAGCAATCCCCCTCAAATAATTTCTCCAATATTTGATCTAATGGTGTTTATGAAAACTTCAATACTTCTTTTATTTATCTAATGATTTATATAATGTGATATTGAAATATATATAAACAAATACTCGAGTGGCAAAAAGACATACTTAAACAAAAATTATTAATACATCTCTTTTGCTATTCTTGCCGAAAATTTTAAATTGTGCCTTTAAAAAAAATCTCCAGAATCATCATTTCTCGATTAATTCCACTTTATTTTAAGTAAATAAATTACTTATTACTTAAAAGTAACTTAGTGTCAAAAAAGTCTTAATATATTTTCAGTAACCTTCAAATTTCGTTTCTTCACGGATCTTATCAATTTTGACCAACCTCTAAATTGTATCTGCTTTTATATGGAGATTAATGATGTGCCAGATATCCGAATCCATAGATATCCGCAGTTATAAAAGAATCTGTATCTTTTCAAAGGATCTTTATAGGAAAATACAAATGCAAAGAAAAAAACAAACAAATAAGAGCACATTATTATAAATATGATATAATAAACACAACTCTTCAAATCTTTACAAAAGAAGATTATATAGATATATTTTGAGAAAAGCAATTTATCAGCTTTATCGCCCTTAAGTCTATTTCGATGAGGATTATAGATAATTCTTGTTGCTCTGAAAAGCTGTTCACTTGGAACAATAGCAGTTGATGTTGATAAAGATGTAGGAACAGTATGATTTAAATTTCGACATTTATTGTTATTGGTAGGGTTGGGTTGGGTTGAGTTGGTAAAAGTTGTTATTTTGTTTAAATCTTTCTTGATATAATCAGTGAACATGTTACCCTTACATCAAGGATCTGAATTCGCCATTTGATACAGATTATCACATTCTCTTCCACCAAATCAATTCTTTACTGCGTTTTCAAACCAGACATAAAGTTGTAAATAACAAGAACATGATTACCTTGAACTGCTTTTACATTACTATTTGTCATAGAAATAATCATTTAATCATATAATTTGTTTAAGGCTCATACAAGTGGAATAACATTCAAAGGATCAAAAAATGTTCCTAATTTTTTGAACCAGTGTCCAGCTTTCAGCATCTAATTATTCTATTTTACTTGTCTTGGCATAAAGTAACAAAAAATCTTTAATACATAACAGCCACCATGTATAAGGCGCTATTCCACCACCATTAATACCAAGATGTATTTTGAGGATTATTGCTGCTCTGAAAAGTTGTTCAATCGATTATTTAACTGCGTTTTTAAATCAGGCATAAAGTTATAAATAACAAGAACATGATTACCTTGAACTGCTTTTACATTACTATTTGTCATAAAAATATTCATTTAATCATATAATTTGTTTAAATCTCATACAAGTGGAATAACATTCAAAGGATCAAAAAATGTTCCTAATTTTTTGAACCAGCGTCCAGTTTTCAGCATCTAGTTACTCTATTTTCCTTGTCTTGGCATAAAGTAACAAAAAATCTTTAATACATAACAACCACAATGTATAAAGTGCTATTATTCCAGCGTGAAAATTAACTCAACGTTCTTAATGGAATATTTTACTACCAAAAGTAATTTCTGTGCATTCTGATGCATCCTTCTGGATTCATATTTCATCCATCATCACGAACAATGCAGTGCATATTATGACAAATGTGCATATATGAAAATATTCGAAGTATTTAACGAAGTTAAATAAGATCCTGATTTTTGATAATCCTACATCATAAAGATCTCGATTCCGTAATTTGATTTATCACTTTTAATTTTCTATGCGATTTTTATGTAGCAGTAACATAAAAATTGCGATTTTTTTCCCTAAATAGATATTGCTATGGAAATTCATTAAAGCTCTTTATTCGACAATGCCTTTTTCTTCTCATTCCTTTTTTCTTAATATGATGGATTAACAAGAGTAAAATATTTCTGAAAAGTAGCTCTTAAATGCAGCAAATGTATTAACATGGAAAAACATCCTCTCTTCTTATCAAGTATTTTTATATTTTTTTCTTTGCTCTCTGGAAGGCACATATTAACATCTGATAATCTTATTTTTTTTTTGAACAATTATTCTGACTCATCAAGGTTATGTCAAAAGTATTAAATACTTTTGACATAATTGTTGTTCACAAATTTTGTGAACTAATCTAACACTCTTCTAGTGTTTCACCAGCTTTATCTAATCGCAACCTCT